ACTGGGTTAGTAACCCGCGTTACACGCGGGTATATTTGTATTGATTGTTTCAAGTTGTTATAGATTTAGTAATCTAAATGCGCAAGTATGTATATATCGATTATTATAAAAAAAATTAGACTTAATAACCATTTAAATATACATTGATAGGTACTACACAAAAATACAATAACATTTTAATTTTGATTTGTTTGAACATAAATGTTCTTTTATTTATATTTTGAGTTACATTTATATTATTTACAATATTATGTTGATAAGAAAGAAAAAGTTAAAAAATTTATATGATTAGTTAAAATATTCATATTAATATATTGGTGGACAAAAAATAAAAATTTTAAAAAAAATTGAATATATCTAGTCTTTTTTAAGTTCTACTCTCTAATGGAATATTGTTATTTAAGTTTTTTTTTATGGTATATCAGAAACATATGGTGGGACTTAACTTCTACGACTTCCTCATTTTAGTGTCCGCAATTCCACTATTATTACTCTTTACTACTCTCTTTATTTTAGCTCTTTTAAATATTACATTATAAAAATATTTTGACTATCTAAACTCATAAACTCTCTTTTCAACAAATAATATCTCTCATATAAGATATGATATATTTTAGCACTTCTCGCTTCTCCTAATCTAATCACAACCGTACGTAGTAATATAAATAGTACAAATACTACCTCTCATATATAATAAATAATATTTTAACAATATATTTTAGCACTTATTATTTCTTCAAATCTAATCACAACCGTATGTAGTAATATATATATATTACTTTGTGCTTGTATATATGTAATCTCTTGCTTGAAATTTTTTACTTCATACATGTGAACAAACTTAAAAAAATTAGTGATAGCAATATGGACTATGTAGTAATAATAATAAACAATTAAAGAATTCATATGTTTTCTAAAAGTTGGTTTGTGGTTTTTACCTTAGCGGTCGTTTGCCTAACCTCATATCCAATTCATTCGCTTTCATGATCATAGAAACTAATATATAAAGTACTCTTAGTACAAAAAAACTCCACTTAAGAAAGTTAGAATTGGACTAAATAATAAAAACAATACAATAATACAACAAAATTATATTAAAAAAACTAAATTAGAACTTTGAGTGGAATCACAAAATCAGAAGTGAATGATAAGCATCTCAGAAAAAGCAAATACAAAAAAAAAGTCATATTATCAGAAAATAAATTACAAAAAACTAATCAATTAGAGCTACAAATTTAAGCCTATCAATTCAACTATATTGTATACTAATGTTGTAGTGGAGACCCTATATTTATAGTTAATTTGTTAGGCTAACTTTTAGAATTTTTACTTTTTAAAATTAGGAATTTACTCGAAAATAAATATTCAAAATACTTTTTCATATATCTTTTATTTCCATATATCTTATATTCTTTTCCTTTTTGAAAAAAAATCGTAAAATTGAAAACAAATATAATTTCTAAAAACGTTAATTAGTGAGATGTCTAATCTCGATTGGTCGTTCAAAATCCTATGTAGACGCTCTCAATTATAGCCTCAATTTTTATATAGTATAGATTCGTACTCCCTTGCTGGTATCTTCTTATAATTAAAAGAGAAGTACAAATTAAATTTTTGACAAAAATAACCTTTTTATTTTTGAAATTAATCTCAATTTTGTATGAAGGAGAATGAATTGTAAAATCAATTAAGGTTAATATGGGAATAAACAAAAATATTGCATATTTTAATCGAACAGATCCGCGTGTATCCAAGAAGAACAACCCGGTCAGTATCGGATACGTAACTAATGACGTGGACACTAAAACCCAATAACAAAATATATTAAGGTCTTAAGGCCCATTTTAACTTATAGTAGAGACAAGTTTGCAACCCATTTATGTTCAACCGTAGGCTATTGAGTTTCTTCGGCTATCACATTTATGACCATTCCAAAATCATAAATATTAATTTACTAAATCACTAATTTTATCAAACGTATCAAATTTGACAAATCACTATACTGATTATTAGCATAACACTGATTCGTATTTATGATATTATTCCAAAAATACAATTTGACAATTCACTATACCTCTATATATATTGTTCCAACCTCGATTCTCAGAATCATCAAACACACAATCTCAAAAAAAAAAAAAAAAAAAAAAAAGACGAAGACATATTTTTGTGAATCAGTGTTTTTAATAGATCAGTAAGCAAACATATGAGAGTACTCAATGAAGATATACTTTTTTGATCGACATCTGAAGGTTTGAAGAAGAAAAAAAAGTACATCGGCGTATTTGGAGAAGAAGAACAATAGTCACACAAAACCTTTTAACAAACCCTTTTGGTGTGGATATTTTTTTATATCAATATTACATTGTTCAATACATGTTTTATCAAAGTACAAAATTCTAATATTAAATATCTACTAAAGTTATAATATAGATTAAATAAAATACTTATTGAATAGTATGTATTTTATTTAATTAAATTTATATATCTATATATATAAAGTTAGCTTTTTCTCTCTTCTCATGATGCCACCTAAGCATCCACCTAAGCCACATTTTTTTACATTAAAATAAATTTAAAACATTCATTTAGTGCATATTTATGCTACTTATTTAATTAATAGAAAATTTATCTATATAAAAATAAATTATGTAAATAAATGAAATGTTAAATAAGAAATACTTTCATTTTTATTAGTTAGTGGTAATAATATAATTCAACTTTCATTTTAAATTGATCATAGTTTAAAATTTTAAATGTGTTACTGAGTTTAAGAATGTAAGTAAATTTTAAATTTATGGTAGAATAAAAACAACATTTATGTAATTGTATATATAAAAATTTCAAGGGGAAAAATAAAATTGAAAGTGAAATATTAGTTTATAACATGATCAATAAGAAAATGCTTTTAATCCAAATTTAAATATTGAAAGATAATAATTCAAGAGAAAATAACTATAATATGTTTTGAAAATCAATTAAAAATAAATAAAATATCACAATATGAATAAAAAATTAACAAAAAATTATAAACCTCCCGCGCGCAGCGCGGATCAACTGCTAGTACACATATATAGCTTAGTAATAGTATGTATTAATTGAATAAAATTTAGGGCTTATAAAATGTATGTACCCAGGTAAAAGGAAAACATAATTTTCGACTTCCATAAAAAAAAATTAGGTATCCCAACAACTGACACCAAAAGTTACAAACTTGTCCCTCTCTTTGTTTGGCTAAAAACAAATGATATCTTTTGCAGAATAATAGCCTAGGTGCAGGCTACCACCACGCAAACCGTCTCTAGTTTCTGACACGCCGTCGTTGGGGAAAGGAAGATTTTGGAGAAGAAACAATGATGACTTCGGATACAGTACAGTGGAGGCTATTCGTTTGTGTATTTATTATAGCGATATCTTGGTTGCCTCCACAACACATCTCTGAAACAACTAACACATTTACATAGACCTTTAACTTGAAACCGGTGACAAACAAAACACACAGAGACTTTAAGGTTCGGGTATGAATTTATTGCATTCTTTAGTTCTTTACTGCTTCAATCAGAGTGTATTTAATGCGTAAATTTTCAATTCCCTTCCGGATAAGTGAAGCGATAACTAGTGAAACTACACGATAAAAACTAATTTAAACAATTTTATTTACAGTTACGGATGGCGCTAGTTGTACGGCTGGCTCAAGATGAGTGGCGGCTGAACGAACACGGGGAGTACGAGCATGTTTCTGATTTGCAAGGTTATTGTCTGGCTGTCAGAGTCCGAGAGAGGGATGACTTCAAGACGGTCACGGCTTCTGTTAAAGCACGGTTGCAACTTTGAGAGGAGGATAAGGTGGAGCTGACATAACAGTGGCCGCAATGGATGATGGCAACAGAGTGGAAGGGGGCAGATCCAATAGAGATCCAAAACGACGAAGATATGACTCTATTTATGGTTATATGGGCGGACCTGGAGGAGCTGTTCCTGAGGGTTAAACTAGTACGATCGAGCATGAGTGGCGACGACAGGACGATGTTTAGGCCGCAACCGCCGTTCAATCCGACTGGCCGGACGTCTGCTGAAATCTCGGACAGATACTGGAACAGCATGGAAACTCAGGCGGCATGGACCAGCGTGATAACGAGGATGTTACTTGATAAGAGAGAAGCGACAGCTAGTGGTTCGAGGCCCGTTAATGCATATCGTAGGGCAATGGGCCTGTACGGCCCACTTTCAAATAATGCTAGTGGAATAGTCATTTCGGAACAGGGGGATAACGTTTCGGCTCGCATATCTGCTTCACCAGTTCATAATGAAAATGCTCCGGGAGGCGAGAAGCCGGCGTTGCCGAGTTCTAAAGAAAAGGGCAAACAGAAGATGGCTTTCGATGATATCGTCACAGACGCGGACTATGAGGTATTCAAAAAGCAATACTAAGCAGAGATGTGGAGAGAGGTCTGCGCACCTCAAATATCCTTGGGTAATACCCCGACTGGTGGTGACGAATACGGTGTTAAGACGGCCCGGAGACTAGAATTTGGTACGAGTGGGCAAAGAAATGCATCAAGCAGCAACAATCTCACGATAGGACTCGACCGAGAAGCGGGGGAGGGTAGCGCCACCAACATTGTAACGATTTCTTCAAGCGACTCCATGTTCCGGACACCTACACCTACGAATGTGTCTTTTTCCTCAGAGGAGATGTCTGCAGATCCAGATTATGTTATGGGTAAGATAAATTGAGTATTATTTAAATATCAAGATTTTTATCCGGATAACAGTTGACTTACTCGATACATTTGTGTTTACAGATAGTAACATGTTAGCTCAGTACTATTCCGATCCAGAACCTCCAGTCTGTGTTACTCCGGTACAGACACCACGGCAAGATAAGGGGAAGGGTATAATGATGGAGAGTGTTCATGAAGAAGGAGGAATTAACTCTGACCATAGGACAGATACGCGAGATGGTCCGTGATACGCCCATCCCGATCGTCTTATACGACATGGATGCACCTCCTTACTTCGATGACCCAGGGGTAGAAGGTAATAACGATTGATATATTGTTTACCAGAATAACAAAGAAGTTATCATTACGATTCCCACATAACTCGATTTATGAATATTTAACCGATAACCGATAACTGCTTTCCTGTGACAGATTTCCTACGAAGGGCTTTAAAAGAGGCTGACTACGAAGGGGATAATGTTTTTGTTGGGAGACTATACAAGAACAAGGAGGATTGTACAACAAAACTCGCAATACATGCTATCAGAAGGAAATTCCATTTCATCCTCCCTAAATCAACACACAAGGTGGTCGCTGCTGTGTGCATAAGCGATACCTGCCCATGGAGGGTATACACAACTAAATTGGAAGAGAGTGATCGGTTCAGAGTCCGTACAGCCGTACTGCAGCACACGTGTAGTGTGGATGCAAGAGGCAACTTCACATAAGATGGCTTTCAACGGCTGTTATAGGGAAGCTGATGCGGACGAAGTTTGTTGAGGTAGGTAGAGGCCCAAGACTTAATGAGTTACGGAAGATACTGAGGCAGGAGTTCAGCTTGAACGTTTCTTACTGGAAAGCGTGGAGAGCGCGCGAAATCGCCATAGACAATGCTATGGGATCCGCCATGGGGAGCTATAATATCTAAATTGAGTTTTTTGAAATTTTTGTTAATACTAACATTATGAAAAATTATGAATAACTCATAAATGTTTTGGTGATCGATAATTTAACATTACTAAATTTTTATAATAAACGTTTAATAACGATTTTTAAATATGTATGATACATAAATAATTTTTTTCAACGAAAATCAATTTACTAACTTAAAAAATTATATATATATATATATATATATATTTTAAATACTTTAGATATAACATTTTTACAATAAAATTTTAATTGTAATTATTTTGAAAATAAATAACTCTTCTATTAGACGAGCCCTAACTTATCTAGGAGCTAGAGCTGTCAGACGGGCCGACCCGCGTCCATGTAGCCCGCCCCGCTACGGGTTTCTTTTTTTTAGGACCGCTGTGGACAGGCCGCTAAATCATGTTGAATAATAGATTTAGCTACCATTTCCCTGAAAATATGTTGATCTATCTTCCTAGCTTGCAGTCTTGCTTCTGAATTGAGCATCATAGTACCAATATCACCATTCCTAAGCTTAAGCTTACAAGTTTGCAAATGGCGTCTATATGTGTTTGTACCGTTTTTGTGTGAGTTGAACGCAAAATCTCCCTTGCAATGCTTGCACTGAGCTCTTTCTACACTCACCCCCTTGCTATTAATCTTGTTAATCACTATGAAATCTGCCCAAACTTCTGAATATTGTCTTCTCTTCTTTGGTTCCTGTGACTTCCCCTTGTCATCCTCTTTATCATCACCATCCTCATTGTTATCAACGTAATCATCATCATCTACCTCATATACTTTTTTTTCTGTTTCTTAGATGTTTCTGGTTCATCACGCATTTTTCTCTTCTGCTTTTTAGCTGTTTCTGGTTCATCGCTCACTTTTCTTTTCTGCTTTTTACATGCTTCTGATTCATCAAACACTCTTCTCTCATTTTCAGCATTAGCAGCATAGATCAATTTCTGAGATTCAATGTCTACTGATCTCAGTTCATAAGAATCTTCTGAATCCTGTCAATAACAAAAGTACAAAACTATATCAATAACATTCGTAGAACTGAACAAACACACAAGTGACATGTCTTAACTCACACATCAAACAAACGTGGACCAAAAATTAAGCTAAAACACAATGTTTAGCAAAAGTGCAAAACGTAACTTGAAAATCAAAACAGAAGCAAAGGTAAAAGATCAAGTATGAAACATTACCATTAGATTTACGTGGTCAGCCTCCAAGTCTCTAGGGTTCCAAACTTCAACAATAGTCGCTGCTCTGAAAATAAAATCTCTGAAGTCGACAAGTTTCCTTGCTAAACAACCTCTTAAACTAGGGTTAAAATTTTAACACTAAAACTCTCTAATAGTAACCAAAGGTTTTAGAAATTCTAATACACTGTAAAAGCTTTACATCGTATAAATATGTTCTAAGTGATCATACTTTGGCGGGTCGACCCGCTTACCCGCTGTCCGTTACGGGTTCATCCGCTTCAGTCCGCAACCCGTGATGGGCTTACCCGCGAGGCCCGCTATTTTATGGACAGAAAATTTGACGTCCAAGCCCGCCCCGCCATGATACTACTTGGGCTAGGCCCGCGGATTTCATGCCCGTTTGACAGCTCTACCGCCTTGTAATCTCTCTAACGCAAACGACGCCGTTCACGAGTCCTTCACTAACGTTAACGATGTCTCCGAGGATCTCTCGCCTAAAGCTAAGAGGTCAAGTACCGCTGACAACGAGAGCCTGATCTCTATCTTCGAACCAGAACTAGCGGGGTCTGGTCTTCTTCAAGAAGTTGTTGAAAGCTTCTTACCAAAACCTAGCTCTCATCATGCTTCTACATTTCCAAAGTGCAACCAACCTTCGGTTGGTGTATTCCCGACTATGCCGGAGACAGGTTTTCAGACAGATCTTGGTTTACCCAACGTCCATGTCGAAGGAAACGGATTTGGTGAGGTGAAATATCACGGAGAGTTGGGTTGGGCTGATCATGAGAGTGGCTTTGATTCAGCTACGATGCAGTACAACGGAAATGTTGGAATGCTTTATCAGTATTGCTTTCATGATTATTAGGACATTATTGTCGTTGTTGTGTTCTTACGTGCTTAATTAGCACTTCACTGTTTTTTAGGGTTATGAGAAATTAGGTTATGGTATCTAAAGTCAAACCCTTTGGTCTTTTGTTTCTTCATCTAGTTGTATGATCAGTTATCTCTCAAGAAAGAATGTTTTAGCAAAGGACAATAACTATATGTGATTCGCAAGTCGTCATCCGGTGGAGATAAAGCATAATAATCCCATAACTACCCACTTAAGGCCCATACTTATGGCCCATTATAAGAAGGCTCGATCCAAGTATAAATGATATATCGGGAAAAATAAACTACTTGATAATTAAATTAATTGACTTGTAGTAGTCTTGTAGAACAGACGCATAGGTTGAAGACGATGATATCAGTAGGATTTGTTCAACCCAGTTCTCTCTTTTCCTTCACAGCGAAATCCATTGACAAGCCACACGCAGCTTTACGAACCAAATGGGTCTCTTCTTCTTCTCTTTCTTCTCATCCTTCTTCAACATCTTCCGGTGAGACATTTCATCGAACAGGTTATGGGCAAGTTCTTCAAAAGGATTTTATCAGTAGCACCAATGAAGAAAGTAGGAAGAAAACGAAAAGGGTCTTCTTCTTAGACGTTAGTCCACTTTGTTACGAAGGAAACAAGCCTAGTTCGCAAGCTTTTGGTCATTGGATTTCACTCTTCTTCTCTCAAGTCAGCCTCACTGATCCTGTCATAGCTGTAAAAATCTCTCCTTTTTCTTTGATTCTCTACCACTAAGTTTTTCTCTTTCCCGATTCGTGAAAGATGTTGTATTTGTAGGTTATCGATGGAGAAGAAGGTAACCAGCAACGCCGAGAATTGTTGCCTTCATATAAAGCTCATAGGAAATCACCAAATCCTGGGAAATACTCTAAGAGGCCACATGAGTTCGTCTATGAAGTTCTTAGAAAATGCAATGTGCCAGTGGGTAAAACTATTTATACTCAGTGTTCAGTAGACTAGCTCAATTCTGAGTCTTGGATATAGTTAAGTCGATTAGGAATGGATCATAGTTATTTGAATTAGCCATTATAGTTAGATGAATGATCTGACTAGGATCTTGTTTGCGAGCTAGGTTGTTAGAATAGAAGGGCATGAAGCAGACGATGTGGTCGCTACACTGATGGAACAAGCTGTGCAAAAAGGATATCGCGCGGTTATTGCATCACCGGACAAAGACTTTAAGCAGTTGATTTCTGAAAATGTTCAGATTGTCATTCCATTGGCAGATCTCAGGAGATGGTCCTTTTATACCTTGAAACATTACCATGCTCAGTATAATTGTGATCCACAGTCTGATTTGAGCTTTCGTAAGGGCCTTATCTTTGTAAACATGCCTGTTAATGTTTATCGTTTTGTGCAATTTTGCTTTGTTATGTTTCAGAAACAACTTGAACGAGTGTTTGGCCAGATATAAGTACATGTCTGGTTTTAGCCAGTGAAGTGTTCTGCGTCTTTTTTATTTTTGGAGATACTAATCTGGACTATGACGTTTGTGACAGGATGTATAATGGGTGATGAAGTTGATGGAGTTCCGGGTATTCAGCACGTGGTCCCAGCGTTTGGAAGGAAAACAGCGATGAAACTTGTGCGAAAACATGGTTCTTTGGAGAGTTTACTCAGTGCTGCAGCTGTAAGAACCGTGGGGAGACCATATGCTCAAGAGGCCCTTACGAAATACGCAGATTACTTACGGAGAAACTATCAAGTTCTTGCCTTGAAAAGGTTCTATCTTTCTCATTTTGATTGATTATGCATCACTTGTAAGATATATTTTTGCTAATTCTGTAAGCATTCTTTTATGTAAGGGATGTGAGGGTACAGATTCAAGAGGAATGGCTTGTTGAAAGAGACACAAGCAATGATTCAGAAGTACTGTCAAGCTTCTTCTCAACCTTGGATAGATGATACTGCAAAGCACAAACACACCATCGCGTTTTAGCTGATAGCAAGTTTTTGTAACCTTGAATTTACCTGTCAGCATTGTGGTTCATATCTGATTTTGTCATATCCATTGATATGAATCTAAATCCAATCTGTTGTTTCATTAGATTATTGGCTATCACTGTGGAGTATGGATATAGATTGTCTAATTAATGAGCAATAAATTAAGGTAAAAAAGAAAGAATCTAACTTTCTTATATTAGCAAGAGAATTTGAAAAGGAAATCCACTTTTTGCTTTCCTGATTTTATTCCAGAGAAAACAAATTACAGACACAAAAAGCTGCTTAAAGACTAAAAAACTAGAAACATCTAACATAACTTAATACTTGTCATATATTGAAATGCCTTAGATACTAGTATCTAAAACAGACTCACCAACATTCCTGGGAGAGGAGAAACCACAGGTATTTGCAATAAGCGTTTGAAATGAACTATCTGAATCATCAAACATTAGTCGCGGGAAATCATGGAACCCTCCGAAACTACATGTTTCAAAGTTCATGGGGGAGAAAGAATCCTCGAAACTTATATTCCCATCCATCATTCCAAACTGTGCGGTTTCTTGGTTGGCATTAGATGGAGAACCGAGATTGAAGCCAACCATTCCTTGGTTGTTGTTCCCGCCTTCAGAATTCTCTCTCTGAGTAGATGAACTGGCTGAAGGTTTTGTCTCTTCAATAGGAATTGCAGGCGTGTGTCCCTGGAACAGAGCTATGTGACCAAATAGCTTGTCTTTCCTTGAAAATGTTGTACCACAGGAACAGAGCCACTTGTTTTTCCCACAGTGCTTCTCGTGGGTTTTCAGGTCTGCTATGACAGAGAACTTCTTGGTATGGCACCGGCTGCAAGTGAAGCTTTTATCGCAGTGGGTGCGTTTATAGTGGTTCTTCACGCATAGAATCGTTTTCAAAGGCTGGAACTTTCTGTGCTCCTTGTTACGTTTGCAACCCAGGAATGGGCAGGAGTACCTCTTGATCAGCATCGGTTCAGACCCGGGTATGGATTCTTTGTTCGGTTTGGCAAGAGCGGCTGCTGTTTTGTACTCGTCTCCGTGCCCTCTCATGTGCATCCTCAGATTCGCGTCTCTCTTGAAACCCTTGCCACATATGGTGCAGAAGTGGGTATGCGGTGCGAGGATCTCCTCTTTCTCAAGCTGCAATATCTCGTATGAACCCGGAGGAAGGTTCTCCCCTTCCTCCGCATCATCTTCGTCTTTCATTTCATGTTCCTCCACAACATGGCTTTCTCTCTCATCAACAACAACCGCCTTAGGCAAATCGAACTCTTGAGCACCACAGTTGTTATTGTTTTGGCTCTGTGAAGCAACGTTATTAGCCTCCCTTGCACAAGGGAACATGGCTGAACCGGGCTGCCCAGTGTATGGACCCGGTGCTGTTGACATATTATGCTTAACAGATGGAAGAAGACTACCTGCAGTTGAAATCAGCTGAATGATTATGGAAGTAAGATCCGTAGTTATAAGCTGCTGCTGCTGCTGCGCCGCTAACTCGTCTTGACAACCTTGAACCTGCTCACCTCGGCCAACAAGCAGATGAACAAGTTCCTGCAGCTCGTGAATCTTCTGCTCCATAAAAGATAAATTACTCAACATAGTACTCGGATCCCACGCTTGAGCCCTCACTCCTTGCAGGAAATCAACATTAGCTTGAACGTTCTCTTCCCCTGAAGCTTTCATCTCATCGAAAACTTGCAAATCAGGCTCCACACCATCCATCTCATAGTCCAAGATCGAAGCTTCCTCCCACTTCTGCTCCGACGTAAACCCCGAGAAAGCTTGGTTTCCTCCACCGTCTGATGAACCCTGCTCCTGCAATTTAGAAGAAGAGCTTCCCCAATTGGTCTGCTGGCACAAATCATCTTCAGTTTCCATTTTTATTAATCAAGATCCTGTATTCACCCTTTTCAATTCCAATAACTACAAAACATAAAAAAACAAATCTTTATCAGAATCATGATCAGGTCCAGCTCAAAGTTCATCATTCACAGAATCAAACTCGAGTAACCACCCATTTCTCAAACAAAGCCTCAAAATCTAACACAAATATAAAATCCCAATCAACACAACAAAATCAAAACTTTTCTATCACACAACGCTTAAGATCCAAAAAAACACAAAAAACCAAAAATCAGAAATCAAAAACCCAAATCACAACTCGCCGACAACAAATTTAGAAACCCTAAAATCAAAGCAAAAGACGATAAAAACAAAGCTTTCACAAAAATCCAAATCGGTTCTTCAAAGAAATTGAAAACTTACAGAACCAAAACGAGAAAGAGAGAGAGATTAAGAAAATAAAATAAAAAAATCACCACAAGTAAAGCTTGAGATGGAACTTGGAGAGCTCCAATGGCCGCTTTAAAAGAAGAGAGATTAGATAGAGAGAGAGGAGGAAGCAGCGCCAGAGCGGGGCTCATGTTTATTAGCGAAGCTCTCTGGGTGCTCTCCACTTTCTGATCTACCCTATGTAAAAGTCAACTTATTCATCTCAACCGTTCATATATTATATCTATCAGCATCTATCAGATCCGACGGTTCAAGATCGTTTCATCGCATCGATCACGGTACTGGTATATCACAGTCGTTGGTTTGTAAGACGATTGAATAAAGTCACTAGATCATCTCACCCGTTCATTAGTTACATCTAACGGTATGTAACTGTTTTACTGTATCAATCACGGTAATGATGCATTGTAGCCGTTGATTTATTGGAAAATTAATGATGGCGAGAGGATTAAGTAAAGTCAACAGATCATCCTAACCGTTCATTTATATATCTCGTTTTTGATCAGATCCAACGGTGTGTAATGGTTTCATCGCATCAATCACGCTGACGATGCATCGCAGCCGTTGGTTTTATTAGAGAGGTGTGGCGCGGTCCACACAACAGTTTTAGTCGTAATTATTTTTGTTTAATTTTTATTTTTTAATAGTCTCTTTTTCTCTTTTGTGTCTGTCCATGGCTTCTTCATTATGCAAATGCAATATTTGACTTGGCTACTTAAAAAATGTGCAATTAATAAGTTTTTAGTTTTTATTTCCAACTAGACATTTAAGAATTTAGAGAAACATTCTACAGTTGGGTAAATCAATATTGATGGAAAAGACTTTATAGAGAGTTAATATTGTCATGCATGAGGACTAAACAATTAGTTTTATAGGAGGACTAAATTTGTTTTGAATCAAACCAAATTTGTTCAGAAGATTAAAATTATTAAATATATATTGCATCAAATCAAAATTGTTTAATTTTTTTTAAAAACAATATGCTAAATAATTAAGGAGTTGTAATAATTCACATAGTTTTAAACTTTTTCTTTTAAAATTGTGACAGTTAATTTTACGAAACAACAATAATAAAAAAAATATTTTTGTATGATAAATGTGAGAGATTTTTTCTTCTTCGATATAGTTTTTTAAAAATAATTTTTTTTTAAATAATTTAATCAACATAAATAACATGTGGCATTTGAGTTTGAATCAAAACATTTAAACAAAATAATGATAGAGGAGAAAGAGACATGAAATTTAAACTAAATATGTTTAAAATTATGGTCCACATAGTTTCTTCAAAGAGATAGAATTATGGCTATAAATAGAAAGTTTAAGTATATAAGATGTGCATTTTTAGAGTAAGTTAGTATAATCTCAAAGTTCTTCGATCTTGCATGTTCACTTGGAAAATGATAATTGACTTCTTTGGTTTTGTATCTAGAAAATCAGTTTCATGATATTTTCTATCAATATATTTTTTACTATCTATTTCCTTAGAGTATCTACGGACCACCATAATAAATTATGAATAGATTAACATTCTCGTTATAACATAGATGGCTGAGAAAATCTAAGAAAGATGACAAATGATCAGTAGATTTGGAGTATTGAAACTGTTCCGTTAAATGGTCAACTAACAACATTTCAGAATTTTCCGTTTTGAATATTTGTAATCAAATTGAATAACACCAGCACTGCTTTTATGTATCTAAATTCAGTTAATTTGAATAATATTTAATTGTTAGAAATACTATTTGTTATTGTTGTAAATAAATGATTTATATTGAAATTAAATAAATTAGATAAGAGACACTTTAAAGTAGTATTAAAAATTATTTTCAAACGTGAACCATGGAACACAAAACTATATACACATACATATATATAATTTACGTCTAGATTTTCATATCTATTTGCTTACAAATAATAGTCATACATCTATATATATAAAGTTAACTTTTTCTCTCTTCTCCTTAAGCCACATCATCATCCACCTCATTTTATTATTTAATTTTTAAAATTAATTATACCATTTTATCATTTAATTTTAATATTTAAACCTATATAAATAAGTTTTTCAAAAATGAATATGAAAGGTCTTTTTTATATTATACATTATAAAACTAAAAAAGATAATTGATTAAAAGTTTAAAAACTTACTAATTATCGATTATACTAACAAATATATAAATAATAGACTATAGTTTTTAGTGAATGTTTAAAATATATATATGATTATACTTACACAATGAAAACCTAAATATAATGGGATTTAACGGGAATAGAGCAAAAAGTAAGAAATTTTGAGAAGATAAATCTATCTAATTTATGTCTCAAAAAAGTTTCTAACATAAATGAGATAGGTCGGACCGAAACATGAATTCTCATTTTTTATAAACATATAAAAAGGTAAAAATAAAAATAATATTTCTTTAAAAGTTTCCAATATGAATTTAACTATTTTTTTCCAATACAACACATATGTTAAACTAATAAACAAAATAAAAAATTAACTATATTTCATAAAATTGAAAATTAAAATAAAACATTATTAAATGAAATAAACTAAATATAAAGTAAATTTTACTAATATGTTAAATTTAAAAATTGTTCCATATGAAAAAACAAAAAAATATATAAAACATAAAATCAGAAAAATATATATAATAGTATATAAATGATCATTACGAGATATAAAGTACGAAAAATCCAAAAAAAGAAAACGTAAAACAAAAAAATAATAAATTATGACAATATATAAAGAGATAATATAAGCAATTAAAAATATAACAATCCGCCCGAAACCCACAAATCATGTTCAAATTTCATGCCAACATATAAAAGGGCCCAAATATTAACATCTAGATCTATATTTGGTAAAAACCCTAATAGCACACGTTTCTCAATGATTTCCAACCGCACTTCCATTTACGCCCACACTTCGACTTATACTATACACATTTAATTTCTCAACAACTAATGAAGCTAAAACTCAATAGTTTTTCTATACAAACACAATTTAAGTTTTAAAAAGTAAAGTATGGTATAGTGAAAAAAATAAGTAGAAAATAAAATACGAACTAATTACTCATAAACAACATTAAAAACTCCCGCGCGTAGCGCGAGCAACCGACTAGTATTTTATATAACATACAAAAACACAAATGTTTTTTTCTCCAACATAAACTATGATGACACTACTATTAATCACATTGAATTATCTTGAATAATAAAAACAAAGCTACGTTCAAACAAAGGAAATAAATAAGAAGATAAAGTTACTTAGATGTTGAGGAACCTCTCAGTTCAATTTACATCTGCCAAGTGGTGTCAGCTGCCACGAACGTTCCCTTCCCTCATTCATGCACTCGCTTGCTGGATTGCCAAAATTGAATTACTAAATAATTCTCTTAAAAATTCAAGAAAAAAAAAAACTAATAAAACGTTTGATTGGGAAACACACAAGATTCCCACATGCTAAATCGTTAATGACTTATGAGCTAATTAAGATTTTGTCACCATTTATAACAACAACATTCACCAATTTCAAAACCTATACATTTACTTAGGTGTTCCCTTTATTTTAGATTTGGCATTTCTTGATTACTTACTTACAACCTCAAAACTTAATGATACTTCAAGTTAATGATCTTTTAATTAACAAGAAAAAAAAAGAGAGTTCAAACCCAATTAGGATTATGAGAAATAAAGAGAAGAATAAAAACAAAAAGGAGTAATTGTTTGGACAAAGTGGGCAAATATGATTACACCAACAAAAGTGGTGGGAACCTCTCTAACTGTAGTAGTGTCTATGGCTCTAAATTACATCAATTCTTTTTTTTATAGACAAAGTAGAATCTATCCATTTATATTATAGTTTAACAACCTTAATTCCAAAAAAAAGATAAACAAAAAACATTATACCACTTCCCAATTCCAATTTCTTTGTTTACTTTATCATAATATTTAAACATTGATTTTTTTTTTTCATTTTGTGGGCAACTAACTCCATCTTTTTTTGTGTTGAAAATATAAACATGATCAACTTTTCCATAATTGCCACTTTAATTCTTGAAAAGTTGGGAAATGCAATTTGATTACATGAATGATGTTGTTTTTTTTATTCTTCTTTCTTTGCCGGCTTTTGTTCTTCAAGTAGTCCTAGTCAATATTATAACCCAAACCGAAATTGAAACCAAAAATATTTTAAATAAGCTAGTTTAAATTTAAATGAACCCGAATAAATCGAACTAAATCTGATTTCGAACCGAAATTTGTAACTATTCGATAGATCTCAACTCGTTTACTAAAATTTTCCGATACCAAAAGAAATTTATCTATTTATATTCGGATAGATCTCAACTCGTTTACAAAAAATTTCCGATACCAAAAGAAATTTATCTATTTATATTCGGATATTCGAATACCCGAACGTCCAAGACTAGTTTATATACCAATAGTCCAAAACAATTAAAAAAAACATAATACAAAAATCCAAAACATTAAAATTTGAAGTTTATAAATATATACACTCCGGTTCATATCTTTATATTTCTTTGCAAAGTTAAACTCACGTGTCGCAAAGATATCGAGCATGGGTGGAATAATGTGTAAGATGTTGCATAGTGCAAAATTCTAGCATGCATCACTAATTCACTATATAGATAGATAATTATTTTTAATGTTTTGAAGAGCCATTTACATACACTGACCACAACAACAACAACAGTAACACAGTGATTAATTGTGTGTGGTCTATATTTAAGCATTTTACCCACAAATATTCTGATTTCGTTGAAGTTCACGAACGATCCCTATCGTTGGCAAACATATGCAATTCCACAATAGAGGAAATAAATAAATAAAATTCATTATATAGTAATAATACATGTCATTCATTGTCAAAACATTATTCCATGTTACCATGTGTTAAGAGAGTTGATTAGATTTAGCTTTACTTGGAAAGACTGAAACATGATGCATGATGGATCAATATGGCCATTTATATAGTGATGGATGATAATGGTGCATGATGGATGAATTTGGCCATAGTGATGGGATGATGATCAATGAGTGTGACCCTATGAGTGTGACCATAGTGAGAGTTATCGAGTAATATGAACTTTGAAGCCTTTAGCTGCCGCACCACTCTCTCATCTTCCTCCTCCATTGTGCAGTGGCTATGGCTTATTGAGTGGTAGTGAGTCTAGTGACCAAACAAAAATTGATGAGGGTTTACAAGTGTAAGTGTATGCATGGACTATTATTAGTTACACGTAAAATAATGAGCAATCAACAGATTTCCCAAGAGAAAGTATCAAAAATATTGCAACTCTATGGGTTCAATGTATTGGTTGTGTGCTACTTCGTTTTTGGGGTGCTGAAAATTCCATAACCTGAAGCCGGGCCACTAGATCTTCCAGGGGTAGTAGGTTGTTGTTGGTTTGGAGTTTCGTTTGGCAACCGGGGTTGTGGGCGTGGTGGAGCTCGAGGCGGGTTTGGTGGCTGAGGTTCAAACCGGCTGGGAGGTTGCTGATTTGGAGCTTGGTTTTGAAATCGAGGTGGAGGACCTTGCCTGTCGGGGTGGCGGTTTGGAGATGGCCCTGATTGTTGCTGATTTGGAGCTTGGTCTGGGAATCGCGGCCGTGGTGGACTTGGAGGCTGGTTTGGGAATTGAGGATCAAACCGCCCTGTAGGTTGTTGATTTGGAGCCTGGTTTGAGGATTGAGGCCTTGGTGCACTTGGAGGCTGGTTTGGAAACTGAGGATTAAACCGCCCTGTAGGTTGTTGGTTTTGAGCCTGGTTTGGGAATTGAGGCCTTGGTGCACTTGGAGGCTGGTTTGGAGACTGAGGATTAAAACGCCCTGTAGGTTGTTGGTTTGGAGCTTGGTTTGGGAACGGAGGACGTTGTGGGTTCACATGCTGGTTTGGAGACCGAGATTCAAACCGGCTTGTATCTCTACCTCCTGAAAACTCACTACTTGGTTCTCTTTTTGCGTATGTGTTCTGGACATGAACTGGTTGGGCCTGGTGGACACTGATCCCAGGTTCAGAATTCTCTATATCTCCCTGATCATCAACACTAGACTCTCCAGCCTCCAAGCTATCAGGCTTTGCTGACTCCTTCACTCTTGCAGATTTTATGTCTAAATCCTTCAACTTTTTCGCCCCTCCTTTCTTGGGTGGGCCAAACTTGGCATGTCGAACTATCACAACTGCACTTTTTCTATCCGCCTCTGGCCCAAATTCGACAAGTGCATCCCCAAGCTGTACAGATATAATTATGAAATGGATGGATGTTATATACATGAACGCAAAAATTTAAAGTTTTAAACCAAAACAAGGACGATAAAATTTGGAAATAATTGCGAATAGAAGACATCATAGGACATAAAGAAGTAGGGACTTACATAACAAGTGAAGCGAAATAGTAACTCGAGCAGTTTTTCTGGTTCAAGCTCCTTATGTTTGTCCTTGTCAGGCACTGCATTGCACTGTTACACAAAATAGGAAATGAAAAGTTGCACACCAAGAATTTTACTAATTCACCTCAAATCAAGGAAAAAAGGGGAGCATTGAGATGACATTTCAGGAGTTTGTTTTACACCCGCAGAATCACAGAAGAGAGAGCAGCTACAATGTTTGACGTAATTAATCACTTTTTCAGGAGTTTCCCATGAAAGTACATGAGAAACCATTATAAAGAGGTCTAGTGACTAAGAAAGTTACTACCTTTACACGATATCCATTTTCCATCAGCTTCAATGCTTGATCAGATTTAAACTTTAGGTCCTTCGCCTCCTGAAGAAAAAAGAAAGTGAAACAAAAATGTCATTGTAGTAATTTCATTTCCACACAGATACGAAGAAGAAGGAAAAATAGATAGGACAGAGGGTTTCTACAGAACCATACAATTTTTGGAGTAAAACGAATTTCCTTGACTTCAGGTCGAATAGCTTCTGCCCGCTAGAACAAGGTAAAACCATAAACTCAGGACACAAATACAACTAGTATTTTGTAGAAACAAGCATGAGAATTCAAAATATGGATAGGCCATATAACTGACCTTAGCCTTAGCACGCTCTTTTCCTACTTTAGCTTTTTTGTACTTCTCCAATGTGTATTTTACAATTTTACACACAGGTGGCTTAGCATCTCTCTGGACCTACACAGATTAAGATATATATAAATTGGGCACCATGCAGATTATACATACAAATCAAGACAGATTTACCAAAGATCTCCAGTTGCAATCATTAGACAAAACTTCTAGAATTACTTATGTATCAACTAAAAAGTTACCTCAACTAAGTCACACTCGGCCTCCTTAGCCCGCCTGAGAGCTTCTTTCAGAGATACAACACAGTGTCCTGCATAATGATAAAACAATATCACATATTCCTGATCCTAAGAATCATCTAAACCGCATTTTTATATTGTTATTACATTCCCTAATGAATTCTAAAAATGTATTTTGGATTTCAACTACCTCTTTAGAAAAATCTACAGAACAAAGGAATTTTGACTGACTACATCTAAGATAGTTCACCGAAGATACGAACAAAAGGATCACTTATTTTGCTCTTTCTTTATTTTGTACATTGCTAAGACTTCCCACATATAAAGAGAAAAATGAAATAATAAATACCTTCCTCAGAAACCAGTCTAACATACTCGCCAGTAATCTTCTCATTGAGACGTGGACCATCAGATTCAACTTCCTCTTCCTTCTTCCGTGTCTAGAACAAAATCACGGACATACAAAGTTAAGAACAACTTTGACAGCAAGATAATACGACTTAATACTACAATATAACAGCTCTGAACCAAAACATCACTCAATCACTAAACATCTATTTGCCAAAAACATCACAGAGCTAAACAATTCAAACATATACTATTTATACTGCAGCTATACTGTCTTTGGTAAGACAAACTCCAACAAGTAATAACATCCACACATCTTAAGTCGTTGAACTCAAATTCCAAACGCATCATCTAATGCAATCTAAAAGGCAAATGACCCCATCCCACAATAACATATTCAAGGACCAATGAACCAAACTACAACAAAACTGGAAATAGCATAAATATATACAAATGGGAGAATAGAAGCTACGAAATTGCATAGCTACTACAGAAACAAGAAATTGCATAGCTACTACCATTTCTCGAATTAACCAAACTACAAGAAATTGGAAAGCCATAGATATATACAAAATTGGAAAAAGAAACTATTTGCATAGCTACCACAGAACCAACATAGAAGAAGAACACAGAGTACTGAACAAGAAAAAAGCACACATTTTTAAGAGTACCTGAGCTGAAGTGGCAAGGAATCTGAGATTTTGGAAGACATTAGAAGGTCTTGTACATATATCTGAATTTGGGATATCAAAAAAAGACACCTTTGATGTCGTCTGCTTCACAGCATGAGTAAGCGAGTTAGAAGAAGCAAGACAAACTTGAGTGTAGCTCCTTCTGGTTAATTGGTTTGATGCGTATTTGAGATAAGAGCGATTGATGATACGCCATACAGCCATAGAAGTATCAGGGAACGAGATTCCCCAATTGGGAATCGGACAAACCTAAGTTTGGAAACCGCGACAAAGGTTTGGTTTTGTAATGAGATATAGAGGTGAACGGAGAGTTTCAACGGCGGTGAAGAAGAGGGGAAGGGTTCAACGTCTGATCGTTGCGATTTACTGTTTCGTCTTCTCAGAAAATAAAAGCTTATTGGGCTTTGTTGGGCTTTCTAATAAAACATTAGTTTTCTAATAAAATAATGAGATTTTAAGCCTCTGTTTGTAATTCACAACTTGTAAATTAAGGTGTCATTCTTACTCTCTTTTTCACCAATAAGGTTACTAAAAACAGAACATAAGAGAAAAAAAGAAAAAGTAAAGGGTAGTTTGTTCAAAAAAAAAGAAAAAAGTAAAGGGTAGTTTGGTAAATTAAAGTGATAAAACATGTGGATCTTAATGGTGGTCTCTTAGGCATATCTTAACTAATAAGATGAATTAAAATAAATATCAAATGCTTAATATTGCTATCAGACGGACACATGTAGCCATGGAATTTATCGAAGAAGAAATATATTGTATGTATAAATTATATATTATGTATGTTTTAAAACTATTGTTAACCGAGTTGGTTTTATTTGGATCACGAATAATATTCTCTTCTTCATTTATGATTTTATAAGTTATTTATGAAAAGGTATATGAGTCATAAAGTATATGATGATTAGTATTATTAATTTAGAATAATTTAGAAAGACTATGTTGATATGTTATATTATTTCAAGAAAATTTTAATTGCAAATATATACATTGATGTTAGAAACACTAAAACGGAATTTAGGTGCTCATTTGATACGTACACATTTTCTACTTTCTAGTGTATTTAACAGATTTCATCTCTTACTTCTACATAATGTTTTGTTGTTTCTCTATAATAATTAGTTTATTTGTTGAATTTATAATTTTGTATACCTTTAAGAATTAATTTGATGGAGATCATCCATAATTTCATAAATTGCAATAGTTGTTATTTTGAATTATGAAACAAAAATAACATAAACATATTTTTTACTTGATATTTATTTATTTTATGTTACTTTTTTATTTTCCTATAAATATTTCTCAAACTCATAGTTTGACGAAATAATTTTTCTTGTCTGACTTAATTTAGGGTAAGAAATTAACGGTGTTAACGGTGTTTGAGTGTCACTACGTGAATGAGTTTTTATTATTCTTGAAAATTAGTCAAAACTTATAGTTTTACATTAATAAGTTTGACATTCTTATAGTGATCAAAAGATTCATCGTCTCAGAAAAAATTTAAACTTTTTTTTCGTTCTTCTCTCTTTGATTTCTCTCTCCTCCTGTACCTCCAATGTTTTATCAACCGCACTATTTTATCACCATCACTTCATTTGGTTGCTTTGATTAAGTCTCTTACCGCCGTCCTCTTTTCTTTTCCAAAATCTCCTCTCACCATCACCAATCTTTCTATCTAATATTTATCATCGTCACTCCCTCCCAACATCTTCTCTCTCTATCACCAGGCACAATGATATTGCAGTGGAGTCTACCAATCACTGCATATTGATCATGTCTCTCTCTTTCTCTAATTGTAGAATATTTTTCTTTAAATTTCGTTGAATTGTAGAAGATCTATATCTGAATTTCGTCGAATCCCAATTTTTTCTATAATCTCTAAATTTCGTCATATCTCAGTGTCTTATACAATCTCGATGTCATTTTTTTAACGTCCATCATTTTTTGTAATATGTTTATTTCCTTGAATTACACGAAATAATGAAATATCTCTCTGTTTAACACGATATTTTTCATATTACATGTTAGATATTAGGATTACATGCTATTTTTTCAAAAAATAATGTTCTTAATTCTAAAACCACGTTATTTTTACAAACAACACATATATTTTTCACATATAACTTTATTAAATAAAATTTATTTTTGCTCAATCTCACCGAATATTTATTTTTCTTCAACACTTATCCCAAAATTCCATTTTTGTTTTTCAAGTTTTGCGTCATTATTATTTACAATGTTTTTCTCAAAATTACATTACGCTCCCATTATTTTTCTCCATAATTTAGATGTGCTACTATTGTCTTTTTAATTAAAAGATAGAATCTTTTTACTTAGTTTCAGATTTTTTTTTCAGAAAAAGTGTTCTAGAGTTAAAATATTTCAATAGTTTGTGCAATAAATAAAAATATTGATTAAAAAGGATTATTTCCTATAAGTAGCTAAAGTATAGTTAATTTCATACTTTGACTAAAAACATTTTCAAGCATGACATAAACTATCTATATATTATTTGACATAAAATCTAAGTCCCTCTACATCAATGTTCAAATTTTTATTTTTTTTTGTATGAATGTTAAGTTTATCATATTTTGTTCAAAGTTCAAATATTTCTTTTTTGGTATGAGTGTTAAGTTTATTATGTATCTTGTGCTAAATCTTGACCACAACAAGTTCAAAGTTGCAAACATTAATATGAACATTGATGAATATATACCAAGAATCTAAGAATTGACTATTTTAATGCAATATAATCAACACCACCCTTATTGTGTATATATATATAACCACATCATGCACTCACAAAAATATATTCATAAGTTAAAAGAAAAAGAAGAAGCATATACTAGTATTACTTTAATATTTCTGTTCATTTTTTTTTCTTTCTCTAAGTTGATAAACTCACATTTTGCTTTCCAAAATGAATTCCAAGAAAACAAAAGGAAAGCAAAAGATAAATATAAAGAGAATTGAGAGAGAGGAAGAGAGATTGGTCACATTGTCAAAGCGAAAAAATGGTATTTACACTAAGCTCTGTGAGCTCTCTGTTCTCTGCGACGTTAACGTTGCATTTCTCGGGTACACCGGCTCTGGAAAGCCATATACATTTGGCAGTCCATCGTTCCATGCCGTTGCAGAACGGTTTCTCAATGGTGAAGCCTCATTGTCGTCTTCTTTGCAACGATCGGATGATGCTGATTATAAAGCAAAGATTCAAGAGCTTTGCGAATTGTACAACAATATGGTAGAGCAGACACGTGCTGAGGAAGCGAAAGCGACGAAGGCAGCTGCATCTGTGGAGCCGTTGCCAGAAGATGTGTGGTGGAAAGTGCCTCTGGTAGAGATGAAGGATCAAGAAGAAAAGAAGCAGTTACTGGAGAAGTTTGAAGGGCTTTATGAGAAGTTGTGTGATGAACTTACTGCAAGGAATCAAAGCCAAAGATACTGCAGAAAATGACAAATGATCTATACTTCATCAGTATATCATTTGTTATGTTGTTGTTGTATGTTTGTGTGGTTGCGTTGTTGCGTTGTTGCATTAGTATATCATAAATTATCTAGCTTGAAGTTTTGTTACATATTGAATATTTCAACAGATTTTTAAACTTATAAATTCCCTATTTATGTTTCCAACGTCGTCATACACCCATATGATTTTAGCTACATTAAAACTGTGATCACCATAGAGCTATATGAAATGTTTTCATTTAAATAAAGAAAGCCTGTTGAAAAGTTTCCTTTACGTACATAATAAAATTAACAAAAAGGAAACGAAAAGATTGGTGCATGACGACGTTGTTTTTCTTTTTAGTTTCATGAATTGTTAATAGTTTATAATACATCCAATGTAATGGAATTAAAAGTATATACAGTAAAACCTCTATAAATTAATAATGTTGGGACCATAAAAATCTATTAATTTATAGAGGTTTTAATTTATCGATAATTAATTTATAGAGATATTTTCCTAATTTGGAAAGTTTTTTCAAAAATATATTTAAAAATAAACTCTAACAAAAACTAATATGTCTATATATCAATATATTTTAAAAATTTTACCTAATTATTAATTTATAATATTGATGAGACTATACATTTACAAAGGATTTTCAAAAAAATTATTATCTTATTATTTTATCGAAATATGTTTAAAATTACACTGGTCCCAACTTGGGAACGGAGAAATTTATTAATTTAGAGAAAGTATTAATTTATCAAGTATTAATTTATAGAGGTTATACTATATATATATATATATATATATATATATATATATATATATATATATATATATATA